CTTTCACTGAACTTTGACATCTTCAAATTGAGTGCAGTACACTTTAAACATACAAGTTAACATGAACAATAAAATTATTGCCAAATTAAGTCACAGAAGTCACAAAAACATAGGGAATATACTGTATAACACAAAATTTTGCAGGACTCTGAAATCTGTTCTTCAAAACAGCCAATAAATTTTCTCTGTGGGTGAGTTTCCATGGCTCTCTGCAGCCTGTTGGGAAAGATGCCATGGCGACACAGGCTAGTTTACTCCTAAGGGAGAGAGGGAGGTGGAGTATCTTGTGTCTTATGCTTTTTATGTATATTTTGTTTGAACACATCTGCTATTTCATTTGAACACATTTTGTTACCATCAGTAACATATACCATAGCTGTGCACAAGCAAGAGGCGTTCATAGGGAAGACAAATAAGTAGTTCATTGCAGATTCACATCAGCAGTATTTTGCAGTGTGTACAGGGACAAAGCTTGAACATTAAGATCAATCTCCTCAAAATCAAACACAGCATGTTTGCTGTCTCTTTCTGTATGCATTATATTTGCCTGCAACAGAATGCAAATATTCAAACTAACTGCTTAGGGCACAAAAGCAAGTATTTAATGCTTTTATATTTCATTACACCTGCAAATTTTAATGATATCCCCTCCTAATCCAAAAGAACCACAGGGGCCTCTGATCTTCATTCCACTTGAGCTCTTAGTGATGTAATCGATTTGACTGTTGACTTAATTGGTCTAAATTACTGTTGCTTCTGAGAATTTAGCTATTGAGGCATCTAACTTTCCTATTCTCCTGCAGGGCATCAATTTCACAATGCTAGAAGTATTCTAAAATAGTGGTGAAAAAATACTATCGTTTTTCTTTTAATTGCCGTTTGTCATTTATTTGGGAAATTTCATGGCTTATCGTTTGGTTGCAAAGTCCTATAACAAAGAGCTGTTCTGTTATTTGTTGTAACTTATCCCAGTTAAAAATTTCAGTAATAAAAATTCTGGATAAGTAACTTGTTAATGGACTATTGTTATGTATCTGTTGCTTCTTAATACTAGTATTCTGCACATACTCCATGTGCAAACATCTTGCTCACCTTCACCTCACAGTTGCTACTGTATTGTTTTTTATTTTTAAGCAAAATAATAAATGCTCAAAATAATAAATGCTACTTTCAGACATTCACACGTTCACTTCAAGGTAGATTACTCAGCAAATTTCAGTATTTATTCTGAGTGCCAGATACTGCTGTGCTTTGTTCGACGATATGTGCCCCGAGACGCTTTTTATTGTCCTCAGTGCATCAAATACCATATTCAGCACATCAATATAATCAATCCATGTAAATCAGTACCAAACTAAGAGAACAGACTCAGCTTTATTCTCACCTGTTAAAAAAACAAAAAGGGATGGATGGGTCAGTGCAGCTGTATAGAAGAGGTTTTACCGCTACAGTTTATTTTGTAATACAATTCAGTAGACTTTACAAACTTTACATATGTGAAGTACTTTGCATTTGTTATCACATAACACTTCACAATGATATACAGTATAACAAATGTTATTGTTTTTTGTGTGTACAGGTATAGTGCATTGGGAATGAGGCTTGCAGGCCAAATTGTTACATTTTTAAAAGATAAGTAATAGGAGCTAGAGATGAATGGCAAAAATACTGTATCTGCAAAAACTGGTCAATTGGCTTTTAGTTATTTTAAATTAAAATAATATGAGAAATATGTATTTCTTCTTATGTTGTGTACTTTCCTAAGTGTACTATAATGAGATAAGCAACTGTAGGATTTATTCAGCCAACCATTATAAGAAAGTCACTTCATCCCAGTGAGGTACAGTATATAACAACCCAGAAACACAGGATACAAGGTGGAACTACCTCCACTACCCCACCACGAGGTGGAACTACCCTAGAAAGGACTTGCCCATTGAAAGGCAATAGTGCACACGCACAAGAACACTTTAGAGACACAAATTAACCTAACCCACCCAGAAAAATAACATGCAGACAAAAGGGAGAAAATAGAAATCACACACAAAGCACCCCAGTCTAGGACGAAATCCAAAACCCACGAGCTGTGAAGCAGCAAGACTAACCACCAAGTCACTGGCCCCACCCCAGTGAAAGTCGTGCCCATTAACTGTGCTGCTGTGCTTGGGTGGGAACTGTACAGAAAGACTATTAATTATCGAGTTTCTAATTCAGTGACTATAAGCCCCGATTATAATGATGTCATAATGTTTCTGCACGGGAAGGAGACATTGATGTACTGTAACTGAGGTTAGGGCGAGAAGCAAAAAGTTGTAGCATCTTGCTTTCACTTTGCACCAACTAGCAATCTAAAGCAAACACATAAAACATGGGTTTAATTGATTATTTTGACTTTCCATGGCCAAAGTTTATTGTGTTACCTTGCTCTTTCTACAGAAACGTTTTTTTGGTTGTCTGGCATGAAACAGACCTATATCCGATAGGGTTGTTTTCCCTATGACATGACATGAACACAAATACAGAATGACAGGGAAATATAATTGGGAATGACTGCACCATTGTGCTTGGAAACTCTCACTGATGTGGCTCTGCACTGACCAATATTTTGTGAAAACCTGCTGAAATCTGACCAATATTCTACTGAAACAGAAGTGTAAGATAAACTGAAAATACCACTTTATTTTTCATTTAGTTTCGAAAACAAATATGTGATACCCCTGCGTAAGAGGAAAGCATGTAACTTGAGACTGGGTTGTTGTTCAGTTTCACTGCAGTTGATCTTATAAAATAAAAGATGTGATGGCTCTATTTAACAGTGAGTGTTTCAGAAACATCAAAGAATCCCCACCACACTTCACCTACTTATATTCTCATATTAACGTTTCTGCAGGTCCTTCCTCCTGGCCGCTGTCAGGGTGTGTTACACTGCCCTAGGCTAGGACTGTTGCCCTTCATCTGCTCATCTATGGACAGCATGTTGCACTATTGTACTTTTTGGACACTCAATCTGTATATACAGTACCTATGTGCATTTTGCACGTATTTTACTGTTTTACAGTGACTATGAGCATATTTTGCACACACCTAACTCTATATATTTATTTTGTATTGCTATACTTATTTTAATTTTTCGTCTGTTATGATGTCTGTCTTTGCTTGTCTTGGGGTGGGCTGCTGTAACACCTCAATTTCCCTTTGGGATCAAAAAAATCTATTCTCATTTTTATTTTTAGCAAAAAAAAAACCCTCCTAGAGTAATATCTGAACTTACAATATATATTTTCTTCTATGAAAACTGTAGAGCATAGAGAAGGTAATTTATTGTTTACTGTCTTTATTGCATTTATTTTTGTCCTTCCAATTTTATGTATCCTGTTTTTTTTCCTCCTCACCACCTAAAAATCATGCTCCAATTCTACAGACATTCCTTTCAGCCTTTCCTTAATGGGCTGTTTTTTTTGATGGCCCTAAGGGAAGTGTCAACGTTGTTTAAATCAAAATGGTGGTCCTTTTAAGAATATGGATCCTAGAGGTACACCTTCACTGAAGATTACAATAGAACTGATTTTCTGATGTTAAGGTGGGGGAAAAGTAATACTATACTGCTTCAGACTGTGAAGTGGCCAAAGCTTATTTTTCCTGCAATACCCCAAGGGCCAGGGAGATTTCACTCCCTGCCTGACACCGAGTGGCATGTGGATTGTGCAAACACACACACTGAAGCATGCCTCAAATAAAGAGAGACGGCTTTCAGTAGTAAATCCTTCAGAATCGTTGCCCTGCGTCAATATTTATGAATACAAATAGTTGTTTATAAATACATATTAAGAGGACATGCTTACCTAGTAGGGTGAAAACAAATTATTTGTTGGAGCAATGTGCAAAAATATGATTGCAAAAATATGAATATCCCGCAGCTTGCTGGACTTTTGTGTTCATCAAAATAGTTAGAATACAACCCCTAATTGGAATGGCTCAGTACAAATGACTACAAAAGATGCTTTCCTTACAAAAGCAAACACAAAATTACATTTTAATATAATTACTGTTCATACTAAACTATTTTATTAGGGTTATTTTCAGAACAGCATGAGCATTTTTTAATGATATATACTGTAATTCACATTCATTCATACAACCCATTTCAACTTCAATACCCCACTTCTAGTCTTTTTAAATCACATGATAACAAGTAAGAGAGAATATAGAAAGATAGGTGCTGAAATGGTTTATTAGTTTTATGTCCAACTTTATACATTTCACTCTTTTGTGTTCTGCAGTATAGGTGCGCTGTCAACAAAGTTTTATATCGTTCTAGTGAATATGCATTAAGTCAAACGTTACGGATAGGTAGCTTTAGCAATCATAAACATCACGGGTCAAAGTCCTCTTTTAAAATCGACGAAAAAAGAATTAAGCAGTCCAGACATAGTGATCGGTTTATGTCAGCAGTGGGGTCCTTCTTTCAATTATAATTGTAAATAAATACATCACTATGGAGGCTTCATGTATGCATCTAATAGGGCGTGGGCCTCTTGAGAAGCAACTCCTCGAACGTCTGATAAATACAATTAATAACCGTGTGTAAAGCAAAGAATTACAAAGAATCAACCGTTTGATATCCTTTCAGGTTATTTCTCTCCTTTTAAATATAATGTTAATACTGGTGTTATTTTACAGAAGCAATTGGTAAATAAAAAAACTTGCAACGCTACAATATATACACTGGAAATATAGTTATGAAAGAAAGCAATAATATCGAAACAATAATAAAAGCAAAAGTACAAATCTAATATTTTAATGTACGGCTTTCCCCCCATCCAACCCTCCCATGCGCCAGTATCAACAGACCTGTCGTAGCGGTACTTGAGAGCATCACCCAGTGACATTCCTACTGCTCCTCCCGCGACAGCCTTGGCCTCTGCAGCAAAGCGCCCGGGAGTTTTCGTTATGTCCTTGATTTATCGCAAATGAAAATGTTGCTGCTGAAGCAGTCTTACCTGCAACCTGGAGGAGAGAGGGAATGGAAGGTGGAGAGAGAAAACATCTCAGCCCTGTCCGCCATCTTCTTCCAGAAATGACTCAAAAGTGACTGCAGATAATCACAAAGCACAGCCCATTCACAGCCAGAGAGGGTGCAGGCAAACCGGATCAAGGGATGATGATCAGCGAAGAATTTTCGCCCCCCTCTGTGGCAACACTGCAGATGTCACTAACATGAACTAATTGTACCACGGATACATTTATCTACGATCAGAAAATCCAGATAATCCTCTTGGGGAAAAAGGAAAGGAAGAGCGTGCTGATTAGGAAAATGGTTGTTTTAAATAATCGTGGATTAAACACTGCCATACACCTGCATAGATCTAGCGCTAAGTACTCACAGAATCAGAGCTATGGAATGCAACAGCAAGCTCTTGTAAAAAAAATCAAGCGCAGCCTCTATCCCTTCCAAAGGACGCACACCAAGCTCCCCCAATACTATGTACAGTATATCAAACAGCAAGAGGTAAAAATCTGTACTGAACTAGCAAAGCAGGAAACAGCACTGCGGATGGTCGTACTTAAGACTACAGACCACATTTTAAACCAAGATGTATCATCCAGCATTATCATATTCTGTTATGATTATGCGCGTTTAATAGCATTTTTCTATATTTCGAAAAAACGTACAATAGGTTGCATTTTGCTGATGGCTTGTGAATATTATGACTGAGATTGATTTGTTTGTGGGTGGAGAAGATTTTGTATTACATGGACATCACGTACAGTAATACTGGAATGCGCTGACAAACACTTCACAATTATTCAGAGCATAAATGCATGTCTTTCTTCTTTAATTGGTCTAAAAACCACTGACGCAGCACCACAGATATATCCTGGAGTAACATTTTACTCCTGAACTGAGGATTCTGTCAAAGTTATACCAGATACAGTAACCATCGTGTACGACTCTGTTGATATTGTATGTCTACATTTATAGGAGTGAAAAGAAAATTAAACGATTGGTCAGACTCAACAATGAATCACAAATCAGAGGACATAAGTAAACACTCCTTTGGACCGCATTTAAACTGAAAACGGGAGTTGTTGGGGTCTGTAACAACTTCTATCCTTTCAAGAAGCAGCTGGTGAGTTAATTAAGCGCGCGTTGTATTACAGTATGTAGCCATGTACGTTTTTTTAGAAATCCCAGACATTTTAGAAAAAGCACTACATCCTTAAGCACTCGTTATGATAGTATTTGAAGTAAAGTGTTAAAACAGTACTTGACATGTGGTCATGGCAGATTAGCACTTGGCAGCATTGAAGAATTGCCAAACACTTCAAAACCATGGAAATAACCGACTTCAAAACCATGGAGGTAATACTCGAGTTTATTTTAGTTTCTAAGTATTTTGCATTTGAATACAGAAGAGTATTTACAGTCTTAATGTGGGAACATGGTCCGCAATCTTGATTTAGTGAGGCCAGCACTATTTCTTGTAGGAATATAAACCATACTGACCTTAAATAAAAGCGTTAACAAGTGCACCCCGGTGACGAGTCTTGACTAACACTAACAAGTTTACAAAGATACATCCAAGCATCCGTTTTCAATAATCAACCACTCCTTTACAGAACACCAAAGTCCAAAGGAAGGGCAGACACATCAATGAATTAAAAAAGATGCATTTTAAATAAGCATACTAAAACTACTGCGCAGTGGCAAAAAACCTGTTGTAAAGAACAAGTAAAGGTTTATTCCACGCAGAAAAGAAACATATCGTTTCGGATGTGGAGGCTCCGAAAAGCTGATTCTTTTCTTACCTTTTCTGCATGGAATAAACCTTTACTTGTTCCTTTGCAGCCTACGCAGTACCTACTTTTAAAATCTGTTGTATGCGTCGAAGCATAGAGCTGTTCTATCGCCTTTGGTGCTGAAATTGTGTAGGAATTTGAGAGCCACCTATGGAGAAATAAGGTATTACAACACTTAACTATTATCTTAATTGTGTACTACCTCAATTCAAACTCCATCCATCCATTACCGAATGGCGGCTTATTTCTAGTGTCACGCTGACCCAGAGCATGTCAGGACCATAAGACGGATAGGTAGGTTATTACACCCTAGAAAAGAGAACCTGTCCATTACTGCGTACACACTGTCAGTTTAGAGACTCTTATTCACGTAATGTAACTTCTGCACAAGGCATAGTGCTGTCACTCCTATAAAAATAACACAACTAAAAGTATTCCATACAAAGATCTTTTACTCAAGTTCAATGTCTTCCTCATAATGTCTTCGATCTATAATCTTTAGAAATAAAAATATGCAATTATTCAAACATTACTTGAGACTTCATTGTTGTGGATCTTTGCATTAAAATACACATAGAATAATAAGAAATTAGCAGTTCTACTTTCCAATTAAAAGAGATGCTTGTAAGAATACAGAATGGGATAGTTTATATATACTATACAAACACAAATATCTTGCTTCTTTAAAAGCTATTTTAGAAGCAATAAAGCAGATAATATGTACTAGGAAACAAAGCAAAAAATAATAAGAGCATTAATTTATCCTTTAGCGTGACGCTAGATGAAATTTGATTAGGATAAAAAGACCCATTCCTGTGAACAAAATATAATCAAATCACTGTAAGTAACTTAAGTTTTTATTTTGAAGGTGGTTTTATAGACAATTTTCACCAAATAATAGATTTCAGATTTAAAATTTAAAATTTATCCTTTGTCAGTAGATTATAAATTCAGCAATCTCTTTTCAACAGCTTTCTTTTTATAGAACACCAAGATGCATTTGAAGGTGTGGTATGATATACACTAACACAGCACTTGTAATTATTTTCAGGACTTTCACGTAACAAAATGAGGCTCAGATCACTCATTACTAAACACTTATTCAAAGTTTGAGCTGTATCTTTTGGATATCCTAAAGAAAAGTCACATAATTTTATTAACCTATTGCAGAACAGGTGTGTTTATCTCATGTTTTCATGAGGTTGAATCATTTATAACTCATCTCATACCAGGACTGGCAAGCCAATCAGAGATATTTCTTATAAGAAGTAAAGTGCACACTGAAATGTGCTCATTCCTTTCAAAGTTTTTTATTTCTTGAAAGTATTTCACTAATCCTATCATCAGGCTTAACAAACATCTAGAACATGAATATTACATCACAGAATGAAATTATACAATGCAAAAATAAATGTTACAGAGTACTAAAACTCTGATGTTACACTTGAAATATATAAACATCTCCAATACATTTCCCAACACCCAATTATAGGCACAACATCATGTTGATTAAAAATAATATGCACTGTACTGAAATAAGGAATATTTAACTGCAGGGTTAGGGTGAATAGAAGTCAAGCACATTTTTGGTGAAGGTAGTGAAGATATAAAATGCAGTGGAGCAATATTATTCTATGCTTTGATTTGATTAAAAAGGTAGTTTTGCCTTTCAGTTATCCTGTGTAAGGAGCTTCTTGTTGATGAAGGTGAAATTTCTTAACTGTGGGTGTGCAAGCAGCTTGAAACTTTGTAACCTTCTGGTTGTTTCAGTTAGCCACTGTGGTTTTAGTGGAAATCAGTTCTCTATGAATTACTAAACTTGGTACTGGCTTATGCTTGAGTCAGAAGTAAATAAAGTTGATACTGTCAAACATATGGTTCAACAGATGTATTAATAACGACAGTAGTCAGCCACTATAACAAAAAAGTGCTAGATAGATGTATTTTCATCTATTTATTATGCTTGTAAAAGCATTACAAAATGAACTGCATTTACTTATGCCTTACTAATTGTCATATTTAACACTTCTTATCGGCTAATAAAAGATCCATGTATGCTCCAACAATGAGGTCCTCCTTTCTAACTCCCAGTTCATTCATAAGCTTGTGGGCAATAGCTTCTCCTTCTTCTTCAGTTTGTCCATCATTCAGCACCACCTGTGGTTGATACATAAATCCATAATACTGGAAATACTGTTTAAGAACTTAAATCTCTGACTTGATATACAAACTTTAAGTTGCTCTGTTTTTATATAACTCTGCAATGATCTCCTCTAAAATCTGAAATTTAAAACAGAAATGCAAGCAAACAAATTCTTTTTAATCAAGATATATGAATATGTAACTACGTGCTAATTTAATATTTCCTTCACTGTCATTTTATTTGAGAGTCCGATCTACATCTTATCAGAGATCAAAATCAGTATCACATGGTTTGTGAAGAAAAGTCCTACATTTTAGTGATTTTTAAAATGACTAAAATGAAGTGCAATATAATGAAAAAACTTTTTTTTAAACTATTTTATAGTGTGCATGAGTTCAGATTAAAGAACTCTAAGGACACACAACATGGCATAGTTCTCTTAAGGAAATTATAAATTAGGTTGATGGATGCAACTTCAATAATGCATCATCTGGATTCAATACATACCACAAATACTCTGCAAGAATATCATATATACAGAACATTAAACAGCCACAACACTCAACACAGGCCTCCACTTCTCCCTAGAATCAGTGTGAACACTAAAGCTGGGACTGTTAGTTAACTTACCTCCAGCTCCATGAAGTGCCCCAGGCCTTCAACTGTGTCTACATGGACTCTAGTTTGCCCCACCATATACAGATGCCGTTCTTTTTTCACGGTTCCCTTCACACCCAGAGCATCTGAAAGGACTTTCTAAAAAAAAAACAACATTTATTTAATACTCACGCTCTCACAGTTTCTCCCTCCCTCCCACAAAGCACAACAGCATTCGATTTTTCTTTTTCTTGTGGGGTAAGTCTGATTATTATGACTCACTTTGCTGAATACAGAGAGTGCACTTAAGTTTTCCCATCAGTGAGACTTGGAGCCATGTGAAAACATGATTAATGTCAGCACAAGAAAGTTCTTAAAATGGCATCCAAGATAACAGGCTGTGATTTACCAGCTCTTGACATACTGTCTACTCCAGTGGTTCTCATCGCTGGTCTTGAGGGACCCCTGTGTCTTCTGGCTTTTAAGGACATGAGAACATAAAAAAGGTTACAAATGAGACAAAGCCATTTGGCCCGTCTAGACTGTTGGGTAATAAGTAGCTGGAGCTTATCCAGACCTTTCTTGAAGGTAAAGGCTTTAACCACATGGATGGATATCATTCCATACTCCCTTAATCCTTTGGGGAAGAGGCCTCTTGTTCTTGGGTTTTAAAAGCACTTCCTCGTAGTTTCCACTTGTGTCCTGTATTTTGTTTTCTGTTGTTCATTCTGAAGAACTTCATTGGGCTGGCAATGCCTTTAGAGGATTTTAAATATCAGGTCCTCTTGTAATTATTTTATATTCAAGGGTAAAAAACAACAACCGAATCTAAAAAGGTTAGGTTATTGTAGCCTGTCATTGTGGGACATTTCTTTTAAGTACTAGAATGGATCTGGTTGCTCTTCTCAGGACTTTCCAGAACACCAATATCTTTTTTTTATAATATGGTAACCAAAACTGTCCATGATATTAGAAATAAAGTATAACTAGTGCATGACATGACACCCACTGATTTAAGTTCTACACTTTTGATAATGTAGCCTAACATTTTGTTTATCTTCATTTTTGCTTCTCCATACAGTCTGAAAGTTGTAATCTTCCTTCAACATGAACACCCAAGTCTTTTTCATAGGCAGCCTCTTCTAGCGCTCTTTCAAGTTTGCTCCAGCTGAGTTCTTAATCAGAGACTTACTGTTTTTCTCTTTGATACCTTTTTTAATTTGATCTTAGTTCTTAAAAAAGTTAAATTGCATTTATAATTGGTATAAACCTTGTATTAATTAGAGAGTTTCACAAATATACTCCTTCGGGTGTGGAAAACAGGGTTTGACTTATCCATTGTCATTCCCACATGTCTGTTCATCATAAACTGGTCACCTGTCAAAAGCTTTTTAGTCAGAAATAAGGAATCCAATTTTTAACCACAGTCTCAATGCAGAAAAAAAAATCTAACTAGGGAAGCATATCAATTACAGGCCCAGTTAGAATGAAAACTAGCATGGGCAGACCAGGAATAAGAACTACTGTTCTACTGGACAGACCACCAGGAAGGCTGAGTGTCACACAACTGCAACACTTAGTCTTAAATACCAATTATATATGGTTATCTGTTCTTTTAACTTTCTTGAACAAAAAAAGCGCACAGAGAATTGCATTTGCAATATAGCTACAGCAAAATACTTAGTAGTGCGAATTGGAAAATTGGATTCACAGCCTTTCTTGTAGATGTACCTGCTCCAACACACTGTTTCCAAAATGCACTGATACACCAAAACAGAATCTTGCTGCCTCTTAGGCAGAGTAGAAGAATCTTTGTTACAATATTGAATCAGTTTGTGAAGTGCTCACGATGAATAAACAATAACAGATACAAAAATAAATCATACAATGGTGGAATATGTGTGTTGCTTTTTAATACGTATAGGTTGCCAGGACAGTTCTGAAATTGGCCTGCTAGATGAGGGCTACATTTCATAAACTACACTGTATGTGAGTTCTGATTCAAGTGCAATTCTCTGCCTTGTTAACCCTCTCCCTGGTGTCAGCTATTGTTCCAAACCCTTCCATTCTTTGCACAAACCATATGAAACACTTATTTTCCAAATACAGTACTAGACATATTGAAAAGGTCCACCACAGTACATACTACAGAGCACCACCACAGTTCTTAACAGGTGCTATGCAGAGGGATAATGATAATATCATTCTTAATATAATAATAAGTATTATGGAATACTGTGAGAGATAACTTCTTTGACTCTCTTCAAATCCAAATTCAAAACTTTCCTTTTTACTAAGCTCTATATCTTATTTCCTTACATCTGTAAAAACCTGTATGCTCTTGTTTATTTTTTGGTCTTTTCCTTCATTCACAACGTACAATGTCCTTGGGTTCAGAAATATAAATAAAATTCTTATTATTATTAAACAAGGAACTGGATGTTTGTTTTTAACGGTGTTTCACAATAAAATTTACTTGTACAGTACATAAACTGGGAGACAGGCGATAGCAGTATAGTGAGGTGTATTTGGGAGGCTGAAAACATACAGTACATAAGGATGACAAACCCAAATCTCTTTTATGAGACTATTTTCTCATCAATTTATTACCTTCTTATTAAGATGAGACAGTTGGGTGTTCCAGGGAGCAAATATATTAGTGATTCAGGCATGAAAGTAAATGAAGAGCCTCTAACATTGTCCCCTCTCTGTACTTGATGCTTAAAATGTTTTTCAACAGACAAAGCAGATTCAGTGTTCAGAGAACCCTATTTAATATTTTAATTTTCTTAAAACATGAATAAAGAGGAGATAAATGCATTTTTAATTCCACACTTACTTTGAGGCCATCTGGGTCGTTTGTAACAGAGATGGAATAATTTGACAGTTTTGGTCCGTCCACATCAGGCCTTTCATAGAATATTAACTGGCCAGTCCCATTCTGTTTGGGAAAACGAGATGGTTTGTTAGTCCCATACGCATTCTAACAAAGATATACAGTATGTTAGGGAAACATGACACTCCGAGTTTTTTGTACTTTTTTTATTCACTTATAGAGTTAAAGGTACTTGCACAGATAACATTGAACCTGTAGGTTGTAAAACGTAAAATGTAGCAAACTGCTCAACAGTATGAGTCTTATTAGTTTCTCAGTAAATCCAGTTTAAAGAATAATACAAACATTATTCATATGAGCTTCGTGATCTTGTTCATCATCTCAGTCTATACTTTTGAGCTAACGTACTTGTATTTTAAACCATTTTAAGAGGGGATATATTCACCACCTCATAGTTCATCATTATCTTGTTGATTTTAGAAAACATATTTTATAATAACCACACAAAATTCGTGAAAAAAACGTTGTACTGTACCATTAAGTTCCTGAGCTTTAAGCGACCATTTGGTACACTAAAAAAAGTGTCTTGTTGCAGAATAGTGGTCCCTTCCGAATTGCTGAGCAGTTTTGCCTTTTGTATCAGCTGCTCAAGGTCGTGAACGGCGGCTTTTATTTCCACATTGGATGGCATTCCTGTACAGAATAACAATTTTAAAAATCTTACAAGGCTTGTGAACATTTTTTAACTTCAACAACTATCCTTTGTTATGAAAGTAGGCCTGCTTTTCACTGCACCGCTGCAGTAGTACAGCACATGCATTTGTACAAAAACAAATTGTACTACACAAAATGCCCGATTTAAAAGTCCTCCTCTCCTTTTCACATTCCCCGGTTCCTCCAGGGCGTGCAGAGGGGGAAACGTGTTTCTACTGTAAATAATTAGGCTCTGAATTTAACGCTTAGGTTAGGCTGTTTTACCCGAACAGTTTTACTCTTTTAACTTGCACAAACCGTGGTGCAGGATTTTGATTTCTGCACAATTCGCGAATGCATTCATAATAAAAAAATCAATCATGATTATTTTAAGAGAAACAGACTTTACCTTCCACGTTTCGGCGCCTTTATTGAACACATGAAGCTGCGGAGACACACAATCTCATTGGTTCCCGAACTCGTTGTTAAAAATCAATCCCGCCCACAAAACCCCACTGGCCCACCTCTCCCTATTCTGTTCACTCTACCTCTGCCAATTTAAGGAGTTAGAATTCAAATGAAATAAGAATTAAAATCATTGCAAAACAAATGCTGTTAGAAAAGATATAATATTAATCGGAACCTCAGACTATTCATAGTTACAAGTGGGTCTATAAAGCAAGTCCTGTCAACCGCTAAAAATATGGATTTGACACACTTCTGTTTTAGAGGGAATGGTTTTTTCTCTTTCTGGTGACCTGCCAGAAAATCTTTGAAAGCCCCCTTTTTTCCTAGGGCTGATTTTTTTTTCTAAAGTTTTGAAGATCATTGTTGTTTTTTTTTAGCAATTTCCTGGATCACGCTGGTAAGAAGCTGCAAGATGTAACAGCGAAACGGAAACTGGTTGTGTCATCTGTCTAAATTAGGGACTGTTTAGTGTAAGTAATGTAAGTAAACAGGCACCGCATGAAATGCTGCTGGTCCATTCTAGTCATACGACATGCATGCTACCCGAGGACATGTAAAGATTCAGTACAAGCCACAGAAAGCCTTGGTCACCTGTCCGCCATATCACAATCAAAAAAACCGAATAAGTGTTTTTGGTCTAAAGGATGCCTGTATAGCAACCAGAAACTTTCAAAGCCCTGGATGTTCACTGGAATTATCAGCCATTATCTCCCGAGTATCTGAAACAGGAGACGAGCATCAGTAATCAATTAATATTATTCAACTATTTTAATTTAATTTTAAGAACGATGACTAATACGACACCACGTTATGGCGATGTGAAACGTAATTAAACTCAGTGTACCATAATCCTTCGCAAGGCTGCGCCGTCTGATACTGTTGAAAGCCACTCCCTGGATTTTATTAACCAATGGCTGTCTGCCTTCATTGCATGAAACTACAACAACGTGTACCGAAAGAAGGAAATTCATAATTGGCTAGAGGGAGCATCGCCGTTTTTTTATTTGCAAGTCGATTCAGCTTAGAGGGAATTGTCGTGTTGCAGGCGTGGGTTTAGGTACAAATTAAACAGGTAGTTAAAAAACCGATGCTGTCGGGGGTTAAAAGTGGCGTGACTAGGAGTCGCAGCTCGCAGTCACGATACATTAAAATAGTATAATAATCAGCAATTACCTAGAAAGCAAATTGTAAAATTTAAACCAGCGATTGTATTTGACAGTAGCAAACGCATCTGAGCAACACATAGCGAACGGTTTTTTGAAAAGCCCCAGGGCAATTTTTATATAGTGCAGTGAAACATTTCTACTGCTTCATTGTATTCATATTGCTTTGGATTATAATTAATGAATTGTCTTCGACATTTTGTACAAAAACTTTCCTACGTAGTTAATCAGAACATCTACTCGTCAGCACAACACTGGAATTATCAGGGTTTAACAAGAGCGAGTAGTTCATACCGTAAGGTTTTAGGAAGAATGCAGTCAGGACATCATTTGTTTGAGAGTGCAAGCGATGGGAGTCTTTCCAACTCTGCTGCAACTGCTTGCGGAAACAGAACTGCACTTACAGCCAAGGCCACCGATGCCTTTGAGGGCAAAACAGGAGACTCTTCGCGATGTCAAACGGCACGTTTAGATTATTTAAAGGCTCCGAGTCCTAAAGGAGGCAATGGAGAGGACGACTCCGAAGCGGAATCGTACAAGGATGGGCGAACAGAAGAAGTTGACAGGATGACGAAGGTCAGGGCATACGCCTGGTGCAGAGAATACCTGTCTGGATCCTGGAAACTCGTCTTCGAACATGATTTTCAAATTAGCGTTATCAGGTAAAATAAGGTCTAATTATTTTTATTCATTCTCCTTTTAGCATGCGCATAATTTACATGCGGGTTTGCATAGTTCTTCAAACATTATTAATGTGAAGCGGGTGAAAGGCTGAGAGAATGGCGCAGTGATACAGGGCAGGTGTGGCAGCACAATGTCCTTAATACAACCAAAGAACTGTGACTTGCAGCAAGGAAACGGTGGATAGAAATGTTCCCCTGACAGATGGTGGTAACATAAACTGAAGACGCCTTTATACAGTATTGATGACTGCAAAGAAAAAATTGCACCGTTGGCACAGTATTCACCCCCGAAGAAGGCTCCACAGCCAAAACGTTATTTTCCTATCTTTTCAGCATGGAATAAACCTTTACTTGGTCAACTGGCTCAGTATTATGCCTTGGGGTAAAGAGTTGTATTACTCTTAACTTTTATATTTCTGTTTAAACCTTTAAAACCTTTCACTAAACCTCTGTAGCTCAGTAGACTACTGTCTTTTTGATTTTCTGTGTATGATGAAAGTGTATCTCACAAGGCTTGATAAGATCCAGGTTGTACAGAGCAGTCACTAGAATGCCAAAGAACCAAGTCACCAGGAATATACAGTATATACTGTATATATGGATGTCACCAGGATACAAATCTCTGCCCTTTACTGTATGTATAAGCATCTTTGGGCCAAATTTTACCGTTCACATTAAAGAAAGTCCAACACTTCTAATAGACTTTGCTTTTATTAAGATTTGGTGGGTATTATCCCAGGATTATTTCCTCAGCTGATGCATTCCTCCACTTGCGCTGTAGAGCAGTGGTTACCAGCTCTGGTCATGGAGGTGTACTGTGTCTGCTAGTTTTTGTTCTAGCTGAGCTCTTAATCACCAGTGTTGCATTCAGTCCTGGGTCTGAAATACCCTACTCAGAAATAGCATTTTGTTTCCAACAGCTTCAAGATGCAAAACTCTAAGCAGCCAATTGCTTACCCTTATCGTGTATGGAAAACTGCAGGTCTGCTTATCATTTTCTAAATTGTTTTGCAGAATCTCAAAGGTCATGGGACACATCCAAAGCAACATGCTGGCTTGTAACCTTTGTTCCAGTTTGGTGTGATCTGTCTGATGTGGACTGCTAATCTGAACTTTAATACGCATTGTATGACACTTATTCCACTGTTTTCGTATTCTTAAGAAGAAGGTGGTCAGCTGTGAAAAAAGCCTTATCACAGGAACAAAAAACATTTCCTGTGTCAGTGATATGTAGTAGAGTGCAAGTTTAAAAAGGCATGACTTATTTGTGCTTATCTGAAAATATATTTTGAATTTTGTAATGACAAAACTTTCTCATCTTGTATTTGTCTCTTTTATTTAGTGGTGGGCTCAGTAACCTGCTGTACCTTTGCTCCCTGCCTGACCATGTACAAAGTGTTGGAGATGAACCACGTCAAGTGCTGCTTAGAATATATGGAGCAATTTTGCAGGTTCGTTTTTACTGCATTTTGTGTTGCCTAGATATGTTTGTCTAAATGGTAATACCTCTGTGGTAGAGTCCAAAATACACCCCATGTGATTAAAGAGTAAGCAGTGGACTACTAAAATATAGAACAGTTGTTTAAGCATAATTTCATTGATCTCTTAATCTTGGAGACTTTAAGTTGTAAGTTCAAAATATTCTCTTTCAAGGTATTTATTCACATTCAGTGGATCAAAGGGTCTATGAAGGCAATATCCCTGTCAATGTCAATTACAGAAATTGAAAAATGTTGATTACAGACTTTATTTTGGGTCAAAAATGTGTAAATTGGTCATTTTTACACATTTGTGACCCAAAATAAAGTCTGTAATTGACATTTTTCAATTTCTGTAATTAGAATGGTTAAATACACTAATTAGAATTACAACAGTATTAATTTGGAACAGGAACAGGGACAGCATACACATGTACATGTAGATGTACATTTCCTAGGTTTTTTCCAGGTGGTAATTGGGCAGCAGAGATATGCCCTGCTTCACACTTTATCCATTTTGCAGTACTGCAGGACCTGAAGATGCTCCACAAATATCAGCAATAGGCACTGGACTTGGACGTCTGAGGAAGTATGTGATTGGAAGGAAAATATTTGCCTTATATGCAAGTTGTAATTGTAAAAAGTGGGTTAATTGTTTTGTATCCTGAAACCAACAAAGATAGTTCCCTGAATGTGTTTATTATAAGTTTTAAGATCTTTAGAGCCTATTTAGGATTGTGATATATTTTTCCTGCAGAAGGAGCAACATTTAAATGGATCATTAATTCCATGTGCAGTTAGTTATCTAATTGCCACAGCGAGTACTTGTAAAAATTAAAATTACAACAGTGCTAATTCTAAATGGAACACATGCAAATATTTATAATGGAAAAAGTATTACAGGTATGAATAACATGTTTCTGACCCAAATAGTCATATCAAGGGTGAGGGGAATGTATTTTTCCTATCTTTGTGTCCAACAGGCAGCAGGCCTAAGAATATACCCCCAGTCTGCAAATACAAAGTGACATTTTGAAAATTAGAAACTTGTGTAATAGGTTGTTAGGCCACTGACAGTGAACAGAGAAGTACATCCCAATGGTGTTCCACGGAAGCAATGCTCTATATAAGAGTGTGGCTGCATGCTTTGTAAGTTTATGGTAACATCCATTTAGAAATTTTAGGTAATGTGGCAAGGTTAATCATAGCTTAAAATAGCCACTCTTTCAACTGTTAGTACTTTTGCATACAAAGCTTTCCACATGTGATCTAGTAGCCAGAAATTCAAGTCTAAACATTCAAACATTCAAATTCAAAGGTCATTTTGGTATTCCTGCTATGACTGACAGAAAATTATTTTGGTTTCTAGCTTCACTTACATTATGCCAGTGATTGTCATTCATGACCTGCCTCCATACTACATTCATGTTTGAAAGCTACCAAGCTTTTATTCCAGAACAAAGTTACCTAAATAAGTAATAGGTTACCATGCCTAGAGCCATGTACTGAACAACACATACTGAAGTGTTCTTTAATTATTCAAATAAAAATACAGTAGCCACTTGACCTACAAACAATTTTAACATAACAAGAAAGCCTAAGGATAGAAAGTGACGTACTGTACTGTAATATTAAATGATCAGATGCACAGTATCCTAGTTTAAAGTGCTTTTGTCTTTCAAAATAGTCTTAGTTCCATTAAAAACCTTGCCAGGAAGTCCATAAAATGAAGGAACCCCATTGTTTTGAGTGTTTTAAATTCTTTGTGGGGGGAGGAGAAATTAACACGCCTGCTCTCCTTCTGCCCATCAGGGTGTGGATTCTGTCGTACTGGAGAGCGTTATGTTCGCAATACTGGCAGAGCGAGCACTGGGACCCCGACTCTTCGGCATCTTCCCCGAAGGACGGTTAGAGCAATACCTTCCGGTGAGTCATAGTCCTCGAAGAGTTTCGTCTGTCGTTTACTCTCAGAAGCTGTACACTACTATAAAAATAATAATTCCTTAAACTTGTATAGTGCTTTTCTGCACACTCCACTCAAAGTGCTTCATAGGTATTGCGGACTTCTCCTCCACCACCACCAATGTGCAGCATCCACCTGGATGATGTGACGGCAGCCATAGTCCGCCAGAACACTCACCACACATCAGCTGTCAGTGGGGAGGAGAACAGAGTAATGAAGCCAATTCAGAGAAGGGGATTATTAGGAGGCCATGATTGGTAAAGGCCAAGGGGAAATTTGGCCAGGATGCTGGTGTTATACCCCTTCCCTTCAGGAAACGCCCTGTTGTGTCCATGTTAGGACCCACACAGATCGCAGGGTGGGCGCCCCCTAGTAGCCCCACTAACACCTTCCAGCAGCAACCTTAGTTTTTCCCAGGAGGTATCCCGTCCAGGTACTGGCCAGACTGGCAGCTTAGGTTGGGTGGGTTGTCAGTTTTGAGCTGCAGGGTGACATGGCTGCTGGCTACCCTGTTACCCTAAAAGTACCCCCACTCTGTAAAATCCCCTTTTGCATGTGGTCACTGCCACCCTTCCTAAATTGTTTAGGAACATGCTGTGCACAGCCCAGTGGAACATGTTTTGTGTGACTTTTTTAGCACTGGGTTTACTGCCTTTCCAGAGTAATCGGCTGCTGACCGAACAATTGCGCATTCCTGATATCTCTGCAGAGATTGCAGTGAAAATGTCTCGCTTTCATGGTATGAGCATGCCTTTCAACAAGGAGCCCAAATGGCTCTTTGGGACAATTGAAAGGTAAGATATACAATCTTCTTATTTCACAAACGCTTTTCAGTGTAGTTCAGTGTGCTAGCAGACACTAAAAGATGCAGTGTCATAAATGTTGTCATTAAAATGCTAACTAATTGTAAATCATGGTTCTGTTACATCTTGAGACACTAGCTGTGTAGTATCCTTGTGTTTTCATGTTTTTGTTACATCTTAGCACTTGGTTGCTTAGATTTGTAAGCTCTTTAATTGAACTGCTACTTGATTAAATGTTTTTTTTCCCCATTTACAAATAAATTATTAAATGGCTAGTCTTTGTTATTATTTACCTCTGAGCTTTTCCAGAGCTCCTGTCATCTGGGTATATGCTTGTATTACTAGTTTGGTGGGATTTGGGAAAACAAAGAATTAAAGAATTAAACCCATAAATAATTCAAACTATTACAATTACAATTTACAAATTACTAATTACAATACAGCTTGTTACAGTATCTTTCTCCCATTTGTCAGTACATTATTAACTGGCATGTCTGTGGAGAGATACATGAGGTCTGTAGAGGGTAGCTTGAACACAGTTGTCTAAATTGTTTTGGAAACAGTGCATACTTATTCAACTTCCATGGCTATATAAAACAGAACTGTGTATCTTGTCCGGTTTAATTTCTAATTAGATTTTATATTGTATTATTGCAATAACAATGTGCTCAATCATGATTTTCCAAGTCTGAAAGAGCATCCCGTGGCCGGCAGAGGAATCCTACTCCATTGGGTCCCTGTTCAAGGCTCTTAACATTAATGCCTCTTTGGAGCAATTAGAAGTATCATGTTATATAAGCTTTTATTTTTTTGATTTAGTTGGTAATTGAAGTTGCATTGAAGTGGTCACTCATAAATAACAGTACTATTGAAAGTACTATAAAGTACTATATGAAAGTATTGGAAGTTGCAGCTTTGTGTGCAGATTGTTTCTCAGAAAATTACAGTTATGTTATGTCTTCTGTAACTGTTTTAATTTAGTTCAGGTGGGTATCTGCGTCAGCATGCATAGGCTGCAGTGGAACAAATAATAGGTTTATTCCAAGTTGAAAAGACAGTTTTTCAGGTGTAAGCTATCGTTTACACCCGAAGAAGGCTCCACAGCCAAAACGTTGTTTTCTTTCTTCTCTTTTCAGCAAGGAATAAACCTATTACTATTTTAATTTGCTTTGTTACTGCCTTTAATGAGCACATATTTTCACAACTTTGTTCTTCTGGAGAGTGATTGCGCTGGTATTGCACTCTTAACCATCCACCTAGTTGTTCATACCTGAATTGAAGAAACCCCTTCCCAGAAAAACCCAAGAAATCCAGCTGCAGCATTTGTGTTACTCCCTGAAGTTGGGAAATGTTTGTTTTTAAAATAACAGCTTGCCATGAAAACATTTTAACCTGTTTAATGTGCTTTGACTTTCTAAGGTACATGCAGCAAATTTTGAAACTGAAGTTCACAAGAGAGGCTCATGTGAAAAAGTTCAACAGGTTGATGAACTATAACCTGCCTGAAGAGCTGAAGAGCCTCAGGTGAGTGTGGCAGATACAGGGAGAATAGTGGGATTTCCTTAAGGCCCATGAGAAGCCACACATTATTTTTTTCAGAAGTCTGAAGCATTGGGATTCTTGCTTCTAGATTTGGAGATTTCATGTGAAATGTAAAGCTCAGTGATTGGCATTACTCTGGGGAGGTAATTGAGGAAAATATTTCATAGCATTTCCCTTTCATTTCCTCTTACAAGTAAGAAAATACCTGTCAACAGGCGTTTCATTTTACATTTTGTGGGGAAAAAATACAATATATTGTATTCCCTTAATGACTTAGTCCCCAGTATTTGCTTAAGAAATGATGACTCACTTTCATTAGATTCTCCCTAAATCCTAACTAATATGTGCCAGAGTGAAATTAATTTAAAGGTCTTGGTTAATACATGTACAGCACATAACACCACACCAGGTAATATCAAGCAGTCTGAGAGTTCCATTTAGCATGTTGTTTTGTTTTCAGTCTACATAGTAGCTCTATTTTACATGATTTACATTATAAACGTTCCACACCTTAAAAACCAACTACCTTGCCTTTATCTTAAGGGTTGGAGAGTTTAAAAAATCAGAAGGAATTTAGAATTCTTAGATCTCCAAATACTCCTGGAAAGTTTTGTGCATTGATAGTGAAGTGTCTTCATTAATATCTTCTGATTTTTGGCGTCTTTGCTGCTTGTTAGCAAACAGACATTTAAATCAGGGCCACAATACTTAAAGTCTCTAGAGCTTTAGTGTAAGCTCTTGACTTCACATTAAACATAAGGTCATATTATTTTTTAAACTAAATTGTCTAAATAAGGGGTCAGAAGCCATGACTCCGAAAAGCAACAATTTTGCTGGTTTTAAGCATAGCCCTGAGAAGTCAATTAGTGCTTGGAAAATGTGTTACTTATAGAAATTAATTAACAGTTTGATGTGTTTTTGACATTTAGAGTGTGACTAGAATCAAAAGCTGAAGGCATTGTAGCATTGGAGGACCAGAATTGCAGAATTGTTTAAATTATCTGATTCTGACTGTGCATTATTTAGGTGTTTTCAACGCTTAGTAACTAAATCTTCTTGTTTTTCTGTTCATTACCTCATAGCCTAAATCATTCACATGTCACAGATATAATGTAAATGTCCTGTATTTCAGTTAAGGAAAGTTTCAACATGCTGTTCTTGAAAAATAAATGAATAAACCATTATGTTCCTTGGTGTGGTATTTCTTAATGACACAGAAACAGTGAATGCAAAGAGAAGAGGGAAAAAAAGCCATGTGAAAGAATAAAAGAATGTGCTCAGGGGTTGATAGGAAGATGGGGTGTTATTCTGGAAAGGGAGGTGTTAAGAACTTCAAAGAGGCTGACAGCTCAAACATTGTGATAACTGATTGTTCCTTTTTTTGACATTTTGTTTTTGTGTGAAAGCATTCAAGCTAAATCAGAATTCTTTATGAAACAAGAAGTGTTTATGAAAGAAAGGAGTACCCAGGAGCTTGTGTGATAGGAATTATAATTACGCCATTATCTATTAAATTTGTAGGTTTTTAAGTGCAGATTGGTGCAGAAAACTGTCAGCTTTGTGATTATGTTTTTCTATGAAGAGGAAGAATAATGACTGTTTTTAGTAAATGTGTTTTGCTGTATATAGGATTACCAGTGTCCTTTTTGAACATGCTGTAAATTAAAGTTCTGCTGCATCATTTGCAGTCCTGGAAGCCATTATAGAGACATGGCTGAATTATCGCCACTTGACTCAACAAGATCTAATTTTTTGGTGAATGTGTGTTTAAGAGATACAAAAAAAGCATAATGTATTGTGTAAAAACACTGAAATCAGATGTGAAAATTATTAAGTAATAATCTGTATTGCTGTATTGTTACTTACACTAAATTCTGCCTTTGTTATGCTGCTGATATTTTTTTTTGTTCTGCCACCATAGGAAACTTCTCGAATCAACACCCTCTCCAGTAGTTTTCTGTCATAATGATGTGCAAGAAGGTAAGAAAGTAAAATGGCACAGGATGTTGTATCTAATTTCTTTTACCTTTTTCTGTATGTCATTGTTATAGCATCCTGTAGCAGTCCTGTGTTTTAGTACTTTATTTCAACAGTAATCTGTGTGTTAGTTTTTGATGATAAACAAGCTCTGTATAAAGCTAAGCTAGATACGCGTTATCAATAATTAATATTTTCTGAAACCCAGAATGTGTATTTCCAGATAGAACCAATTTACAGTATGGTTTACAATTATGCAAAATACTTAAATATTTGAGTCCCTGTTGTAGAATGCAAAAAGAGGGTAACTGGAAAAAATGTCAGTATACCCAGAGTTTGCCACTCATTAAAATGGTTAAATTTGTAAACCCTTACATCATGGAGACTGACTAATTCTTTTATTGCTAATTGATTTATTAGAAGTATTCTTGAAAATTTGTGTACTTTGCAAATTAAAGGTATTGTCAATTAATTAGTAACAATTGTTTAGTGAATATAAATAACTTGTGAATTCAATGGGCTTCAGTTTGTTCAGTTGTTCAATTGAGTTTTGCATAGTGTATTTGTAGGATTCAATCCCTTTTGTTTTGACAAACTCTCTTACACTCCCTAGAAGAAATTAAAGTATGTGGATAGCTTCACATTCTAGGTTTAATAAATTAGAGCTCATATTTTAATGTGAGCAATTTAAAAATCAACAAAACACCTTTAAAAAGAACAGCAAAGGTGCTCAATTCTAACTGGTTTCAAGTTGATCCCTGCAATAGCAATATTCTTTCCATGTGATTCAATCATATGTAATAACTGGCTCTATTTCTCATCTTACATATTTGTTTTGCACATTTGTGTACGTCATATGATGTTGCATTATATTGAAAGTATGCTTGTCCTAGCTGTCTAATCAATTGGGATCTGGGTTTTAAGGAACAGTCCTGGGAGCCCTTATACACCACAAGCCAGACCAGTCAATCCAACACTCACTCATTCATCCGTTTTTCTCTTGTTAACAGAAATGCCTTCACTACATAACCATTTTGGTGTGATCTTTCTTTTTTTGTTGTTCTAGGCAACATTCTCATGTTGGAAGATAGAGATCCCTCTTCAAAAGAAAAATTGATGCTCATAGATTTTGAATACAGCAGCTACAATTACAGGTGAAAAGAATGCTTTTAACATTGATTATAACATTTCACTCATAAGATATTGAGATAAACTGGCTCAAAAATATTTTCATGGTTCACTGTTCTTTTCTGTACTGTACTAGAAGGAAAAAAGCTTTTGTCTTGTATAAATGTACTCTTTCATGCAGAAGTTCTTATACTGTATCTACTACATTGTAAGCGTAAACGTATAACATCCTTATTTTTTACCTTTTATCTACAACAAATCTGTCACTGTTTTTTTTTTTTTAGGGGTTTTGATATTGGAAATCATTTCTGTGAATGGGCATTTGACTACACCTATAACCAGTGGCCTTTTTTCAAGGCGAATCTAGAAAACTATCCAAACAGACAGCAGCAAGTAAGTGACTTCACTCAAAAATGCACTTATATTATGAAAACTTTTTATTTTACTATCGATAACACTAAAAATCAGATTAAAATCAGATCTGATCAGCTCTTTCCTGAATTGTGTCCTCTAGTGATTAATGTTAAAGTTTGGGCTTCAAGGTTACATTGTCAACTATTAGACGGGTGTCCAAACTGTGTAATAGACACCAGAGTGTCAGATCTGGAGGACACGTTCTGGTGTATGTACAGTATATGCATCGTGGGTCTGCTAGAGGCCACTGAATGTGATGACATTTGGTCAATGGTTTATTGAAAAAAAGTTTCAAATTTGACACATTGAAATCACTCACTTCCATTGGCATTGACAATTAATTTTCAAGCAGAATCTTGCCCCGTTCGCTCAACTGGGGTGTCTCTGCTGAGTTTTTACTGGATTATAGCACAGCAACTGCCCCACAGAGACACCTATGCAGAAGTGAGGAGACAACAGAGATGCTGGCATTCAGTCTGTCCTGTTCTATACTATCATGCTTAATGTCCTCCTTGCTGGCAGACCTTGAAGGAGGGGTTTATTGCATCCAAAGGGAATGCCTTGCCAGTTTTGATAGAGTAGGAACATGGTTTTCTTTCTCTCAGGGAGGTTGTGTATGTGAATAAGATTGGACCAAGGCCTTCTAGGGGAGGGGTGGTGGTATACTTTAAAGGGTATAATTTCTGTTGCTGTAGTTGTCTTCATTATTGCTTACCAGCTACTGTCTAAACCTTTTCTATTCAAGACCTTTATTTCTCTTTGACACCTGATGTTCAGCGCCTATTACTGATATTTGTATTAAACAGATAGTTTGGTTGAAAAGAACAACAATAGATGCCACGATACAGGAGTCTTGTTTGAAATGCCAAGATGTTTGGAAAATGGCCACTAAGTATTTCTATGTAGCTGCCTCCTCTTTTGCAGAAAACAAAACAAAGGGCTTAGGGGTGTTGTAAAGGATTTTTCAGATTTCTTCGTGGTTGTGAAAAAGTAGTGAGATTTTGACATTTGTAAACTAATACTGCAGGCAAAATACATTTTTGTTTGATTTTATTTGGCTAGGAACTTCAAACCTGTTTTGTTTTTCATGTTCAAGTACTTGCTGGAAATCTCTGAGTCTGGTATTTTGGAGGCAAATATAAATACTATCAAGAATGTTATATTTAATGGATCATAATCAAAGGAGACAAGTGCAAAATCTCAAATATCTACAGCTTTAAGTAATTGTGTGTCTGGCTTGGGTGCGGCAGATTTCTGGTATGTACTGTATATACTGTAATACCTGAGTCTTAAGAATTTACTTTCCTTAGCTAGACAAAAATATTACGCCAGAAGTGACTGTCTTTGCCTCTCAAGCCTTTTTTACTTCGTTGCACAATGCGGAGGTGCTACACGTGTCACATCACTTTCACCCTGCTATCAGGTTATTACTATTAGGCCCCACCCTGCTAGCATTTCAATACCTTGCTCTTTCAGATGCAGTTTCAAGCCAAATTGGAGCGGTTTCTTGAGTTTAACATGGCTAGGCTGGTGACCCCTGTGTTCTCTGGGACACTCTTTTGCTTGGAATAGGGACTTCAGTGGTAATCATGAAGCAAATTTCGGGAGACTACATTTGGGGAAAAATTGTCTTTCAAAAATTCTCACCTAAAAATGTGTTATCATTCAAAGGCAATAATTGCTGTTCTATAAATAGCTTATCAGGCTAAATGATAACTCTGACTCTATTTTCCACAGAAATAGATTTAGCTACAGTATCCACCTTAGCTAAACACCATGTTGCTTCTTCCTTGGGTACCTCTGCGTCCTCCCCCACGGCACCACTGCGTCCTGTCCAGTATTGATATTTAAATGAAACTTACATCCATCATAGAATCTTGGAGTGCAGCCGTGTTTTTCCAGAGCAAATTTTATAGTGTTTTGTTCAGATGCAGAGGAACAGAGTTTAGATGTATCCAAGTTGCATTACAAACGCAGGACCAGTGAGAAAGTGTAGCATCATAACTGTTACATAGAGGACCTACTTCATCAGCATTATTAGTATTATTATTATTATTATTATTATTATTATTATTATTATTATGAATTAGTACTTCATAAAAAACATGCTTTTGAAGGACTAATTCTGAATTGTATTACTATGTCATGATTCTGTTTTGTAGCTTCATTTTATCCGTCATTACTTGTCCGAGAGCAATGGAAATGCAGGATATTCTTCACAGGAAGACCAATCAAAAATTGAGGAGGAGATGATCATGGAAACGAACCGGTATGAACAGAATCTCTGTTCTGAAAATGTTTTATCCCTTTTTTAAAAAATGTGCTCTCGCCAAGAGATATTTATTATAGTTCAAACACTTCATTACATCAGATGTATTTGTTACATATATTTCTCAGGACTTTGAAAACTCATGGAAAAACAAAGCATTTTTAACCTTTTAACTTAACCTTTGAGCATTTGAAAAGTCAAAACCTGATTTATCATCTTAATGCCTTAGGCCCAAACCTTGATGCAACCATAAGAATATTATTTTTATTTTATTTTATAGATTTGCATTGGCATCTCACTTCCTCTGGGGATTGTGGTCCATTGTACAGGCTAAATTATCCACAATAGAGTTCGGGTATATGGTAAGTACAATATGTTAGTGGAATTTTCCTTGTTTGGTAAGGTGTGTAATTTGAGGCACAGGTAGTTACGTTTGTCCAGTAACCACAGGTGACTTGAGCCAGCGCCAGCAGGATTACACCCGCTGCACCAAAACAAACGGACATCTAGGACTGATGAGAGAAGAAAAGAAATTTCAGCATATGAACAAGAAAGTAAAAACTGGACAACTTAACCAAAACATACATCATTGTAGGGGCAGCACGGTGGTGCAGTGGTTAGCATTGCTGCTTCACAGTGCTGGGGCCCTGGGTTCAATTCTGACCTGGGGTGCTGTCTGTGCTCTGGTTCCCTTCCACAGTCCAAAAGCATGCTAGTACTGTAGGTTACTTGATGTCTGGAACAATTGGTCCTGTGTGAGTTTTTTTCAGTGCATTTTTGTCAGTTTTATGTATCGGTTCAATAATCATTTCAGTGTCCTAATATTTATTTTGTATTTCAGGATTATGCCCAGTGTCGATTTGATGCATACTTCAAGCAAAAAAAGGAGTTTGCTTAACTTTTTTTTTTTATTCAAGCACAATGTGAAATTAATCCATTACATGTTTCACCACAGCCAATGGAACTTTCAGTTCTGTTGATAGAATCTCCTAAGAGCAGCTAATTCTGTTGATAATTCTTTTACTTGGTTATTATATTTTTATCACTCATGTGAAATCAGCTTATTTAAAACAAAACACATAAATCCACTGTTAGCGTATAGGGGAAACTAAGAAATAACAAATATTATATTAAAATAAACTTATGAAGCTTTGAACCAGTTAATACAACAAGTCATTCACAGAGAAGCCAGTACTTCTCAAAATAAGCCACATACATCTCGGATCAAGCTAAGTATCCTCATCTTATGAGAAACATGCTTATAGTTAATTTCATCCGCTGTAATAATGATCTTTCACAAAACATACACCCTAGACAAGAGACATGCAAGCAAGGGAACATTATTTTGTATTCACTGAAAATAGACTGTCTGTCATTGCTACTGTAAACGCCTGAAGCAAAAGCTCATGATTTATCCTTTATACTGCAGTAATGTATTCCTTCTGTCATACAAAGAAATTCTTAGTGTAGTTTTCCAAATTATCTATCATAAGCATTCTACTGTTTTATCTTAATATTGATGCATATCACACAATACTTGTAATTACCCAAAAACACACTAGATACTGTATCTCATTATCCTAACTTCTTGTAAATTCTGTTAATTCATTCCCCTAGTACTATTCTACAGTTCCAAACAGTGGGTCCAATTTTGGTTCTTTATTCTTATGGGTAATTTGGGTTTTTGTATATCAAGATGTTGACTGTTTTACTTATAGTTTCCTGCCTTTACCTCATTACTTGTTGAAATGTGCAGTGATCAGAATCCAATTGCAGAATGCGATGTGCAGTCATTTATAGGCATGTTCTCCACTGGAAAACAGTAGGAATCTTCATTCTGTCAATGCAAAGTGAGTGATAATGTTAATTCACTGTGTATAGCAGCATATGGGAGTTGTAATTGGCTTTGCTTCAGAGCCTGCCTGATGTTCATTCTCCTCTACTTAATATTTTAAATGAGATTCAGAGTTGATTTATTTTATTTCAGTAAATTCTTATTTCTAACAGTGGCAACATCATCACAGTCACAGGAAATTAAGTAGTATGTGGATGTTTCTATTGTGACTTTAAAATACCAGTAATTTGGTTAAAAAAAAAATATCCTTGACTTTTAATGCATTTTTGTCAATGCAGTTTCTCATTTAACTTGATAGAAAGCCAATGTTCTCAGTTAAGTTCAGCTTCTTTTGCTTTATATTAGATGATGTTTAATAGCTCTCTTGATGCAAAGCGTGAGGGTCAAGACCCTGGTGTTTGTTGCATCTGTTTTGACACTTTTCAGGACCTCGACACAAAAGGTTAATTTAGGAGTTTTCAGTTTTGATGTAATCATGTTCGTTTCTAGGTTTTGTTTGACAGAAATCACCACAACAGGTGTACAGTACACAAGTACTGTAAGTAAATCCCAAACCCATAACCTGTTACGGCAGACTTTGTTATGCAGTAAATATGTTTGCCTTGGGTTTCCAAACTTTCAACAGTGCCTGTGTTCAGTCTAGTTTAACTGCCACCATTTAAAAATATTTCAGCTTTACATTACTAATGAATTCTTCATAGCTTCAGCCACTGTAGAAGACATAGAATTGTGATGCTTATCAGAAATATAATAATGCTTAGAGTCATAAGTGCTCAAAAACTTAATAATTGAGCAAAAATGGTTTTGGGATCCATGGGACCTGTAAAGTTCTAGAGTATTTGTTTATAATAGGTGGTCTGTATGAGCTGCTGTCTCATTTTTGTTTTGCCAGAAGGGTTGGGGGGGATGATGTTTACATTAAAACTAAAGCTGGGACCACAACAAGCTGCAAAATTATCAAGAACATGATGACATAGTTCCCAATTAACAGAGTAATGGCTAGAAAAGGCTTAGCCAATTGGTTTAACAAATGTCTCCCATGCAATATTCAATTTTATCACAAACTAAGAACAAATACAACAGATAATATTGAAAATCTAAAAATCCTTCAACTCCTTTTGCTGTTGACAGATGTCAGTGTTAGATGGGGGGTTTAGATGGACTTAAAGAAACCTAAACAGCTGGAGAGGAAGGCAGACTCCTTTTTGACTCCTCAAAAATAAAAAACTGAAAATGTAAAAGATGCGTATTTTTTAGGTTGAAGTAACTTATTTTTACTTAAGTGAATATTGTGGTTATCAACTGTATTGTTTATTAACTTCTGACCATTGGAAGCGGAGTTGTTTTGGCTCCATTGTTTGCTAAATACATTGGGCATACTGTAAAAAATCCAATGCAATACTGTGTGCATATCGGACCTTATTTTAGTATTTCATTAGCTACTTACCAGAAAGTAGTTGATACAAAATGACACTATATACATATTCTGTTCTTATTTGTGCAAAATATGCCATTTCCCTTCTAGACAGCTACATCAACAAACTATCTTCTGTAAATACAGAAGTATTTGACATCTGAGTAAATTATTCTGGACATCAACATCACTTTCCAATGCAGCTAATAAAAGTAAAGTCTGAAAAGTTTAAAATGTTTTTTATTTATCTGGGAGGCCCATTTATTAGAACAATGTTTACATAAACCACTGTAGACCACTGTAGTTTACAGTAAACCACTGTAGACGTACATCCTGAAACGGATAAGTTGAAACTCATTGATTTGCACGTTTCATTTTTGCCTTGTTTATATTACTGTCCTTGTGTATTGCTGTTTTTCTGACAGTCCAGAATAGTGTACAAATAGAAGACTTCTAGTTGAAGTGGTTCAGTTTAACATTGCTGCTTAAAGTGTACATTTGATTTTACTATTTATGTTAAAAGGGTTAGGTGTACAGGTATGAAACAAAAATATGATGTTAACATGACTGAAGTAAAAATCCTGTATACTGTATGTTTTGCAAGAAATTGTGACTATCATGCTTAGAAAATAAATTCTCTGGAGATGGTATCTAATACTTTAGGAATCTAGTTCCAATATTTTAAAGATGGATAAATATACTTATTACAGTATATTCAATTTTTCCCACTACAGAAAAATTACATACTCAGAATACGTTA